TTTGCTGCGCTTGCTGAGGCGTGAGCCGGCATGAGAAGGCATGGGAAAGCTACAAAGGGCCCAGAGAGGTGTTTCCATCCGGGCATTTGGCTCCTTTTCTTGTTAGACGCGCTATTGAGTGTTTGTCTGCTTAGTCCACTGTGCGGTCATCCAGCTGGCTTTGAAAAAGGACCAGCAGCTAGACGGAGTCTAGACAGGTTCTCTTCCCCAGCTGACGTCTTGACACGTGGTGGAGCTCGTGTCAGGATGCAGCATTCCCGCTTCATTCTGGAACGTGTTGGCCATGAGGGTGCGTCAGAACAACATCTGTGACACGTCTCGTGGAAAACCTACAGCTTGGCTGACGAGTGCTGGAACTGCATGCGCTGTGGTGCGAGGTTGTAGAGTTTGTGGGGCTCAAGCACGGTTATATGGTAGTTTCCCAAAATAAGGAAACCCCAATATAGACCCCTAGATACTATAATCCTTATTATAGGGACCCCCAAAATGGTACCCCTAATTTTAGGAAACTCCCATATCAACTATAAAGGGGCTATAGGGATAATGTTGCTGGACTTGTTCAATGGCCAGCTCTCTGGGATGCTGAACAAGTGCAATGGAAAAGAAAATGGAAACTACTATAGGGGTTATATAGGGATTATGGGGTTTATATTGGGGTTATATTGGGATAATGGAAAAGAAAATGGAGATTTCTATAGGGATTACATGAATTTTGCCAGAACGCTGTGGTGATGAAGCTTCCTACTAAACCCTAAACCCTAAATGTTTGATCCTTGCCACCTGTGGCAGTCGCAGCTCCTGGCTAGCTTGCTTGAGGCTTGAAGCGCCACAAAAGGCATCAAAACGGACCCTAATACAGACCCCAAAACACCATCATCCTTGTTACAGAGACCCCCAGAAAGGTGCCCTTGATTTTAGGAATATCCATCCCGACAGTAACGTAGTTTCCATTTTTCTCCATTATCGCTATACAGACCCTATATACTTAAAATAATGCCTATAGCCTTGTAGTGGTTTCCATGAATGGCATGAGCCCAGTCACATTCGCTGGGTGTCCCAGCAACAGACGCTATTCAACAGCGCTTTTTTTCAGAGAAGCACCAAACGAGCGGCGTGGTAGGGACTCACATAGCGGTAGGGTTTAGGGTATATAGGATTTACGGTGTTTGTGTGTGTCTGTGTGTTGATTGTCTTTGTCAGAGCAGCCCGGCTCATAGCTGAATGTTTGATGCGACCTGGGCCAACTGCAATGTTAGTTCAGGTAAAGGGTCATCCAGTACAACACTACTAAGCCAGCTTTCAGAGCGCCAATGCCAAGCACACATTCAAACAGTTTCCATTTCATTCTGCAGTTGCCTCACCATTATGGTGGGCTTATTTCCTCCATAATCGCCCTAAGCCCTGAACCCTACAAAGCCCAGCAGGTTCAAATGTTCCTCTCCATTCCCCTGTATACCCTTGTTTATAGACCTTGTTTAATCCCTATAGAACCCCCCACGCATCCCCTGCAGAATCCCTTTAAAAATTCTACATAGCTCTGAATGCTGCTTCAACATGGCGCTGATGTTGCGAGCCCTGCTCGCGATTTGCATGAGCTCAGGTGCAATCCAGGATTTTTAGGGCTTTGGGTTTAGGGGTAACTACCTGGAACCCCAAGGCTCTATTTACAATTATGGTTGTCATCTTAGGCTACTTCAGGTCTACCGCTCACAGCCGGAGTGCATTGTAGATGGATGGCCTTTTGCTTTTGGACTGTTTTGAGGACCATTGGTGCCATCAGTTTACCTACCTTGGGGAGATAGTGGACTTATATACACACACATATATATATATATACACCCTTTTTAATCCGTCAAAAGGGTGCCCCAAATTTGGGGATCCCCCCAAATTTCATGGCATCGCAGGCTTCGTGGATTGCGTGGACAAGTCCAAGTTCCGGACTTTTGAGCCGGAGACCGAGCTCTTACCATGATCCGCCTAGTAGTCCTAGTACCCTGAATTGGGGATGTCTGAGCTATGGTCAAGCTCCGAAAAGGGGGTTTATATAGGAGATTGTTATAGGGGTTATAAAGTGGGATACTAGGAGTTGAGACTATAGCTCACTTATATGGCCCCTAATTAGTGGCTACCTTGGGCCCTAGAAGAAGGTAGGTGGAGGCTCTAGGTACTCAGATTTCTTACAGTCATGGGCCCGACTTTGCAGTGGTCAGGACTATACTGCCTAGGGGGTCATGGCTATATCTACTGGTGGTTATAGTAGGGAATGAGGGAATATGTGTTGCACAGGAATATAGGGATTATGTTCCCTTATTCCCGTCTGACCACCATGAAGTATAACTAAGCTGGGGAAACCTGAACTGCCAAAAACAACCTTTTGACCCTTCCGCTCCAGCGTTTGGCATTTTTCATCCAAGATCCCAAGCTGCAGAATGTGGCAGGCAAGGGTCCTTCGGACGACGCTATCGAAAATATATCAGCAAAGCCCGAGCCTTTCTTGCACTGGGGGGATCATGGGTGGTCATACCTGAAGTTTGATGTATAAGGTAGCAGATAGCTGTGACTTAGTTACCTAACTTGGGTACTGGTAGCCCTGGCTGTCACCACCCATGGACCTCCTATCAGCCTTGTGCCACAGACGTCAGATGCACGCAGTGTTGCAGGTGGAAAGTGATCGAGGCGGTTGCCGTGAAAGTTTCAAAGAAGTACTGGATCTCCCAGCTTTGGTGAGATATGGGATGTAGCTGGACGGCCCCTCATTAGGTGAAATTTGGCTTCGCAGCTGTTGCAAGTTCAGAAACTCGTCTTTATCCGCCAGGTCTTGTAGTGCACAAGATTGATCCATCCTCCATCAAGTTGCTCGGAAACAAAGTACAGGCCGGCTTTGATCTTAGAAGGCTCTCGGCGCTTGGCTCAAGATTGAAATTCTGTATCTTTTGTTTTGCCTGACTAAGCCCTAAATAGTACCCCTAATTTGGATGTCCTTAAAGAGGGGGTGGTCCAGGGGGGTAGGTAACCTAGTAGTCCCCGTTATTCCCTTATACTCCCTAAGCTTCCCTAAGGTTCCCCAAGGCTCCCTGGTACTCTCTCCCCTTGAACCACTCCCCCTCCGGATCCTATAACCTAATGCTGGGACCCCCTTCATATGGTAGTTTCCAACAATGAGGGGACCCCAATATAGACCCCAATATACTATAATCCTCATTATGGGGACCCCCAAAAAGGTACCCCTAATTTTGGGAAACCCCCATATAGGTTTGTTTGTATTGTGGGGAGGCCAAGCTCCTGTTTGCCAACGACCCAAAAGCGAGGGCCTTGGTGTCTCCGGAGCTCATCTAGGCTTGTTGCTGCATGCTGACCCTAAAGCCAACAGTATAGTACCCTACACCCAAAAGTATAATGGTTTCCATTTTCTTCCATTCCTCCATTCAGTCCGAAGAGGTCAAGCCGTTGCTTTTGGAGTTGGGTTTCTTCCTGAGCGAAGTGGATGGCAAGTGTGGCATTGTTCGCACCTACATCACAGAGCAGGCGCGAGTGTTTAGCGGCCAGCTGCTGTTGGGGAGCAGCATCAGCAATTGAAGTTTTGGACACCTCCTCATACCTTAAAGGTGGTTTGTAAGGAAAAAAGGAATATAATCCGTATAGAATCCGTATATGAGTATTCCCTGCCTCCTTACTCTAGCCCCAGCATATACCTATTATAAGGTAGTAGCTGCCATGTTTTTCCATTATCTGTTTATAATCCCCATATATCCCCTTCTTCCCTATTAAACCCTTAACCCTCAACGCTTAACCCTCAACCCTAAGCCCTAAACCCTTCAGCCCCTAAACCCTAAACCCATGGTCTTTGTTCCGACTGCATGCGGGAGGTTCAGAAGGAGCGCTTAAAAACAAACCCTCAACTCTCAGAAAGCCTCAGGAGCCGCTCCACCCAAGGTTTCGCCTCACGCCGGGTGCTGCTCGGCAAGTAGGGATGGTATGACCTACAGCACATGAATCACAGTCCTTAAAGGGGGTGATATAGAGGATTATAGGCGAATATATAATATAGGGTTTAGGTTCTAGGGTTTAGGGTTTGGTCTAAGGTCCTGAAAGGGGGGTATACAAGGGATCATATAGGGGACTACTATAGGGGGTATAGGGGGTATTAATGGGGATACTAGGAGTTTGGACTACAGCTCATCTAGATATGTATTAAGTGTCTGCTATCGCGATAAAAAGCACTTATTGCACATCTATAATGAGGGGGTTGTGGAAGTCGCTCTGGAACTAAGGATGTGGTCCGGAAAGAGGACGAGCTGTTGCCAGACAAGGCCGTCCACCTGGACTGTAGACTACAGTAGTTTATTATACATCATAGCGAACTACATTATACTACAGCATAGTGTCTGTTAATCGTCTGCACTTCACCGTGGGAGGTCTCCGTGAGCGAAGGAAGTGGCTCCACGGAGATTTCGAGCTCAAGTGGTTCTTGCAAGGCCCCGCTGTTGCCTCACCTTTCTCATTGGGATGCCTCATGAGCCACAATCTACACACACTAAAAAGTGGGTGATATAGGGGATTGTCTAGGGACTATGGTAGGGGTCATAAAGGGGGATACTAGGAGTTTAGACCCTAAACCCTAAACCCTATGCCATGGGGATTAGTGGCTCTCTTGGCACCTTTCAGGTCACCTTGCGGCATTCTCCTTTCGAAGTTGAGTTTGCCATGGATGGTCAAGCCCTGCCGCAAGCAATGCCTGCAATCGTCTCCCACTAATATTAAAAACCCCCCCCACCCCCCTAATGCTTAATATACTCCCCATTGCGGTAGATTAGAAAACATATAGAGTATTTACTATTAGGGGGTTGGGGGGTTCAGCATTAGTGGGAGGGGCGTGCTGTTGCAAGAGCCCATGCTTGAAGGTAAAGGCACCTTGTTGGAGTTAAGGTCCTTCAGAAGCTCAATTCCCGTCGCTTCTTCAACTTCGAGAGATACCGGCCGAAGGGCTCGTGCATCCGGCATGTGTTTCAAATGTCTAGGCGATTTTCGTTTGCGCGGGCGGCAAAGGCCTTCTTCTACATTCCAAAGCCCCCATATAACCCCAGTATAATAAAATAGTTTCCATTTTCTTTTCCATTATCCCAATATAACCCCTACATAACCCCTTAACTTAAGCCCAAAGGCACGAACATGCTGGACTCGTGGATGCCACGGACCTCGATTCCAACAACTTGTTCGAGGCCTGGCTTCGGGGAGGTACAGCTTCAGTCCCCCATCCCCCACATTGATACCAGCGTGGCATCCCCTGATTTACTATTACGACTATTCTCTTTATTAGTATCTACTATTACATATTGTTATATACTATTATGTACTATTACATATTAATTATCATATACTATTATTACGGCTATGACGATTTTTGTTGTTATTACCATTGTTAACATCATTTTAATTATTATTGTTATTCTTGAGTGCGGTTTTTGAGGAAAACTTCGGCGGACACATGGACAGCAAGCCGCGGGGTCCTGCTGCTGTGGGCATTGACGTCGCCTTCGAGGCCGTTTGTTAGGGTTTAGGGTTCAGGGTGTAGGGTTGAGGGTTCAGGGTTTAGGGTTTAGGGTTCAGGGTTTAGGGTTCAGGGTGTAGGGTTATTGGGCTTAAGAGAGAGAGAGAGAGAGTCTGTCAAGAGTTGAAATCCCTGTGAGAAGCGCCCCAAAATCAGAACCATTGGAAGCTTGTAATATAACCCCTATATATACCCCATTATACAACAGTAGTTTCCATTTTCCTTCCCATTATCCCCATATAACCCCTACGGATCTTTATGTTGCGAACACCATCGTCATTTGCTGCTGGTGATGTCCAATGCTTTTCCCGCCAGGCCGCAGTTGACGTCTTTGGGCTTGCAGAACATGCAGTAGGCTCGAGCTTTGCTGTGCTGATCACGTCAAAAAAAGATAACTAGAGTAAGCTACCCAGCCTCCCTAAAGGATCCGCAAAATGGAACCCCCTAATAATCCCCTAGTTTCCCCAGTGAGTAGTAATGGGTTCATCTTGGGGGGGCGTCCATTTTTTGGATCCTCTAGGGGGTCTGGGTGATAGCAATTAGCATTGATGGTAATGAGTGCGAATAAACAGTTGTAACACAGATATTCATCATGATCTGTATGTTGCTTGTTTCCGGCCTCTGACAGGGCTGGGTCTGGGTGCCAACGTTTTATCGGAGCCCTGCTCTTACTCTCTCCTGTACTCGGTGCAAGTAGCGGTAGCGCTGTCTGCAGCGTTTCTAAGAAGCAAAGGCCATACAGATTCTTCAACTTGGATGTGTTTGAGTACGCCTTGGGCTCTGGACGATGCCATGCAGACATTGTGCAAGTGCCAGGCATCTACGTACCCAAGTTCGCAAGCACGGCACAGGCGCTGGATGTCCCCATGGCCTTGTACGGTGCAGCCGCCGCCTCGAGCATCTTTCCTTTGCTTGTTCTCACTGGCGTTTCTTGCTGTGAAGCTCAGATCCCGCTGGTGACGGCAATCCATCATTTGAAGCTTCGGCCTTAGCATTCTTATCGATTGCTTGTACAGGGCATTGTGCAAAACAGGGCACGTGTTACTGTTTCGCATGTGTGGCTTCATGCAGCTTGTGCTCAAGGCCCAAAGGTGCCTGTTCTGTCAAGCATAGTGGCAAGATGAAGGCAGCGCCTGACGTGTGAGCCAGAAGATGGACCCAAAGGAGCTCCTATGCGGATGTTGCCGGAGCAGGTTTCAGTCCGCGGCCCCAAGGCAGAGCTTGCCAGCGGACCAGGCCTTTCTCCTTGGCCCAGAGCACGCCAATGAGCCGGATGAGCCCAAAGCTGAATCTGCAGCAGGCGCAGTATTCGAGGATGTTGAAGACAGCGCTGCAGTTGTAGCTGACAAGATCAGGGCCATGGATGCAGAGTCGGCAGAGTCTGTTGAGGCCGCCGATGATAGTCCTCACCACTTCCAGCTCACCTCAGTCTACTCTCCAACAGTTTGCGACGCCTGCAGCAATTTGCTCTTGGGACTTTGGAACCAAGGCTTTCAGTGTCAGAACGAGGATTGTGGACAAGTTGTGTGTCACGATTGCCTGGAGTCAGTCCCAAGACAATGTCCCTTTGTCAAGGAAGACTGACAACTAGGCCAATGTGAATTGGCTCGGGATACTTCTGCGATGTTATCCCTAAGGTCGAGAAGTTAATGGTCAAGACTGGCGTGAGCTGGTTGCTCGTGAGCACAACGTGCTGCACAGCGCGAGGGCGCACACGTTTCACAAACCGCAGCATTGGATTGGGTAAAAAGGAGCATACGCGGACACCCGAAGCCAGCGTGTGGACGTTGATCTAAAGGTGCGGGTTTTAGGGGTTTAGGGTTTAGGGAATTATTTAAGGTTACCCTAGGTCTCAGGACAAATATAGGGAAATTGTTTTCCATAATGGCAATTTTAGGAACAGGAATGTTGATCAATTACCATGTCCATGGCGTCCCTAGGGTGCCGGGTGCCCGCATGGAGGTGGCGGAAGGATTTGCATCGGGGAGTAGTAATAATAACAGAGCTGATAGCAATAGCAATTGCTGTAATAGTAGTAGTCATTGAAATAATAGCAATAATAATGAGAATTGAGATAAAGGTAGTAATAGCAACAATTATTTATTTGGTCCACAAAAACACCAGCAGCAAGAACTATGGGTTTGCCATTCGGAATGGAGAAGGAAGTGGAGACTATACTTGCATGCAAGTACTATACTACTCTGCTATGGAAATGTTTCACAATCGCTTGCAATTTGTCACTGCCCAAAACTGCTGTGCCCTGCTGGGACTACAGTGGGGAGTATGGGAGTTCTTGCTACGGACTATTGGAGCTGATTCTAAACCACTTCCATGTGAACCCTAAAGCCTAAACCCCAAACCCTAGCATTGACGTGTTCAAGTTTGCTGCTCAGGTCAGGGGATGCCATCGCGTCCGGCTTCTTCTTTCCAAATCCGTCCACGGCTCACTGCTCCTGCTTAGTTGCTGTTAAGGAACTTAATTTAAGTCCATATTGATTACTATATGGGGGTTTCCCAAAATTAGGGGTACCTTTTTGGGGGCCCATATAATAAGAACTGTAGTCTATTGGGCTCTATATTGGGGTACCCTAATTTTGGGAAACTACCATATAAATCCAT